ATCGTTGCTAGAGTTCAAAATCAATTCGAGGAAATATGACACAATGTGGTAGTCTGCGGTGTGTACCAAAAGGATTAATTTCTGTACACGGCAAACGTCGACCAATCAGAATTGTTCAAGTATCACGCCATCAAACGATCCACCAATACACGCGCCTGACACCCAGCGCGTGTGAGCGAGACAGCGGACAGAGTAATTGTTTCCAACCTTGTCGCATGGTGAATGATCTACCAACACCGACTGTGTACGATTAAAATGGCGTGATACTTGAATCATTCTGATTGGTCGACATTTGCCGCGCTTCGATGTATTTCCTTATAGGTACATCAATGAGACACATCAATTGTATCTTACTGTATCATGTGTATTATTATCAGAGGTCGGAATTAGGTAGAGTTATTTATGTACTTGCATCGAAATGTTGATATTAATGTGGACCTACCCGGGATTTCTTTATTTCTTTCTTTCATTGATGTAAGTTTGGCAACGTCGTGCGTGCAGTAATTTAAATTGTGTAAAAGTAAATAACTTTTTATTTAAAAATTCACGCGTTTTTTTCTGCTCTTTAAAATTAATCTCGGGATTTAAGGCATATCCACTTTATTCTTTCGCTGTATGAAATCAGTGTAAGTACATGAATAACTCTTCCTAATTCCGACCACTGATTATAAGTCGAGTTTTATTCTAATTAGTTTCATTATTTACTCAGATAGTAACGCCGCGAGAACCGAATCTGAGTTAGCGTGATATACACATGACATTGGCAGTGATTACTATAGACTAGAGATGCGCCGAATAGAGATTTAACCGAACAACCGAATATTATTCGGTATAACTTTTACCGAACCGGTTATTCGGCCCAATTGTTCTGTTTACCATTTCACTATTTTGCCGCGTAAACAGTCTCAAAAATAAATGTTGATTTAAATTTTAATTGCTTTTTTATAAGCTTTATTAAACACGTTCTTCGTTGGTTTTCTTTGACTTTTAATATAACGTAAAAAGTTAATATTCTAGTTCTAGTGGCCAAGAAAATAGTAATACTAAAACCGAATATATTGCGCACCAAAACCAAATAATTAGGAAACGGTGCCGAATACCGAATATCAAACAAATGTTCGGCGCATCTCTACCATAAACGTCCGGTATCTACGTCTAAGGCTTACAAATTTATATATATCATGAATAAAGCAAAGAAGCCAAACTCCCCGCTGAGCCTAGGTCAAAGAGAGAATAAAATCACGGTACACCAAGTCTTATCTACTCACGCCAAGGACGAATCTTGGGCATGGCGAGTGCCCCCACTTACAGACGCCAAAATCATAATTATATAAGACGGTATGAGGACCGAGCTTCACATCAAAATAACAAAACACAATTATATACTCAGTAGTAGTAGTTGTTTCGTCCATGGGACAGGCGAAAGAACTAAACCATACAGCCAAAACCATATATTCATATAAAATGGCGCCATCATGTCAACTTCAATTTGACACTTGATCAATTTCGCGCCAATAAACGGGTTGTCATTCTTGTAAAACTATTGGAATTGTGACTGTGGATATTGTGATTAAAAAAATTGTATACAGTCAAACTCAAAATAATCTTTATCCAAATAGAATTCTTAGAAGAACAACATTTTTTCTCTACCACTAGTTCAGGACGTCTTTTGGCTGATAAGAAGAACGAGCAAGAAACTCAGAGAGGAGTAACGACATTCACAAAACCGTGCCATTACATTATAAATAGAGAGAAAAAAACTATGATCTTATAATGATCATTGAGTTCAGAAGAAATCACCTAACCAATTGCTAGACCATCTAAGTCCAACCATTCTTATCTGTTATATAATCAGATAATAATTTATAAGTTTTTAATAAGCTTTTTTAATAGTAAACGCCATATGTAATTGTTCTATTTCCTCTGAATAAATTGTATATATAATATATTTTATTAATACATATATATGATTACTCATGAGCGCAGAGAAATGGGTGGGACGCGATCTATTCTATCTCTTATGGACAATTGGGAGCTTAGCTAACTTTGCTCTATAATTTTTATAAGTATGCAACAGTATGCACTTGTATACACTTCTATACATAATTTTGTTTAACACCAGAAGAAAAATTTTCGTAACAATCGTGTTTATTTTTTTTTAGTTGAAAGCAAACGGATCTAACCCATACAGCCAGTCTGAACTTTTTCTAATTTAATAATAAAAAAAATAATAGAACAAATTATTAACGCTTGACTGGATAATGGATATACGTGCGATCATGAAGCTTTATCTCAAGACAGGAAACTTGCATATTTTTAAAATAATCAATTATTATCAAAAATTGCAATTTTTATTTTCATTTATTGATATAAAATTATATACCTACACGTACTGAAGAATTATATTACCGATTTCTAATAAAGTTTTTTTTATGAAAAACAAAGTGAATTTAAAAACAAATAAATTTATGAAAGAAATATTTTCAGTGTAAAATTTATATAGTCAAAACAAACCTATTGGCTATCCCTTTTTATCATAACGCGAATGACAGGGACACATTCCAGATCCAACTAAGCCAAACAACTTTTAATTAAAGAATAATTAAAATGGGTATTAAAAAAAACGTCATTAACTTTTTCATATCACGATTGCAATATACTTTAATGTCTTCCGAATTTTTAATTAAAGTCGTACGAATTAACATGTCTGTCTCGTATTATATCTATATTCTTCCACACCCACATTGCTTTCAGTTATATAAGACTTTAAGCTTAAACCACGGTCACCCAACAAGAAGATTTTCGTTCGTTGACCTTTGTGCGTACTTATATATGTCGTAAACATTTAAGGTTCACTTTACTGTGACAAAATTGGCTAGATGCATCTGTGCGAGCGCAATAGCAATATGTTTACGTACGAGTGAAATAGATGTGTAATGATAGGTCATTGTACAAAATTCTCTCTGTTCCGCGACCGAGATATAGAAGTGAAGGCTCTTGTCGTTATTTTCAAGTGCCACATGAAATTATTCAAATATGGTTCCCCCACAAGAAGTATCATCGATTAGGGTTACCAGACATAAAAAATAATTGGGTATATAAACATTTATAAGTTCGAAACGACTATTTTATTTGCACACCGTACTTGTTTTGCACAAATGTCATTCTAGAAAGGTGTCATGTTAATTCGTCTAACTTGTGCATTTGTTTCCATGTCAAAGTCTATAGTCAATAAGGCGAGTGTTGTTAATAATGCCGCATTTTACGCCCCCGTCCGTTCGACCAATGAAAACGCGTCTAAAATCTAGCAACACCAAATTGGTTTTACATTTAATATTTTCCCACTATTTGAAGGGTTATAACGTAATCATTATAATATACATTTATAGTTATTTGGGTAATTTTATAAGTATTTTAAAAATAAAGTTGTGACTACAAAGATAACATAATATATTTATATTAATTAATTAACAATAGTAATTAAATGAATGAGCTTGTGTTACTTATCTATCGCAACTTACAACTTTTCCGATAATCATTGACTATGGGACATTTAAGTGTGACGTAAGAATCGGGGAAGGGGGGAGGGACACGTATTTGCTTAATTTTTCAAAAGGATCTAATAAGATCGGAACATTAGTAACAGAATAAGTAACATTAGCAATAATAGATAATTTCTAGAGAACCAAAAGCATTCATTGCGTTAAGCTGCTAATTTGTTGTAAACCAAAAGCATTCATTACGTTAAGCTGCTAATTTGTTGTAAACCAAAAGCTTTCATTACGTCAAACTGCTGCGTTCGGCGTTCGCGTGTTACTGCTATGATGCGTTCACAAATAACTGCTAATCTGCTAATCATATTAAAGGGAAATAGCGTGCTATTTCACATAAATTAACATGCTAATGAAATTTATCATTTTCATTTACTACTCGACGCTTGTTTATGTCAGAGGCATTTTACATATCACTCGTATTAAATGACAAAGCATTAGCGTACTTACTCGTTAAAATTAGCATGCTATTACAACTTCACGATTGGTTATTTAGCCAGTGTACCAGTGATAATAATCATGTGAGGGGGGCGAGAGTTTGTTTATTTATATTTGCTGATAGCACACTTAAATGACCCATTGTTGTTAATAAAAAAAGTAATTGTAATATGTCTAAATTCATATATACTAGGGTTGCCAACACTAAATTAAAAAAAAAAAAGAATTTGAAGTTACAATCCAATAAAAATTGGTTAAATGAAATTCAAGTCATAGTAATATTATATATAGTGAAATTTTAATGTGTAAGAAATTCTTTGATCTAAAATTAGCATCTAATAAATAGTCAGAAAGAGAAAGCACTACCCGAAAGAGAAAGAACATCACAGAGTTGCGTCTTTGTTTTAAACAGCACGGGAATCGAACAACGCGTATTTTTTAATAAAATAACTAATCATCAACATAGCGCCTTTAAAAAACTAGGACATGTCATTAAAAACAGGGCAGTTGACAACCCTAATAAAACGACAGCATATTTACAATTATCATAAGCAGTGATATTTTTAAAGACTAACAGAACAATTATAAATTGCGATAAATACAGTTTTAAATTTAAGAACTAAGCAAAAATATTAACACTAAAATAAGGCCTACCTCATGAAAAATTAAAACATCTTATGTAATTTAGACTTACAAACAATTTATTGTTTTTGATGAAAAAATAATAATGTCAAAGTAACTACTCAATTTTATAGCGGAACTTTAAAAAAAATCACATTACGTTAATTCTTTAAATAAATAAATCAACCTGTATGTAGTCGGCATTGTCATTTCCAAAGTGAAATGTCACATCTCAAACTGCAATTGTCTTTGCAAAGTAATAGTTAATACAAAAGCAATCCGAGAGATGGCGTTAACGAATGATTTCTATTGATAGTTCAAATTTCAAGATTTACTTGATAATAACAAAAACAGCTGAGGATTTTTTAAGTTTTTTTTTTTATTTATTTTAACCTTTTACTCCAATATTGATTTTAAATAATATTAAAAAAATTGAGTGAGCCTTATTTTGCTTTGAGTACCATATTTATACATTAGTAAAACAAATTTATTGATTCAACTAGTCTTAAAAGTTAAAACTAAATATTATATAAATTCAAAAAAAAAATAATCTAATCGACCAATAAAGTAGTAATATTACCATCAGATTAAAAAATAATAATGAAAAAGAAACAAACAACTTTCTACCAAAACGGTAGTTTTTCACCACTAGCAACCCTGCATATCTTGACGTAAAACAACACACGACTAATCTAAGAAAAATAATGTATTCACTACCATTCAAAATTGCCGAACGACATATGCTATTATGTTTTTATACTATATTACAATTATAATAATCTTAAAACGAAAACTTGTATTGTTTAATATAATTTCCCTCTTTCAGGATAGGCCATGTTAATATTTTACCCCTAAACTTGGGTGATTATATATTAAATGAACCGATAATTTTCATTGCGTTCAGCTAAAATACCCTTATTTTAAATGAAATAGTCAACATTATCACTAATCAGAATTTCTTTAAAAAATCACCAACCAAATATATAGAAAAAAAGAAATTAAAACAAAATTTATCAATACTGGTAATATTTTCAAAGTCTCAATGTTGCCATTACACTAACACACAGTGTTGCCATTAGAGAGACAACATAAAAATCCCCAAGCTATTTATTACAGAAATAAAATACGTAGGCTACTCAATGCTGAAAGAAATAAAAAACTACTTATCTCTCATAAAATTAAAAGAATGGGTACACAATTTTTTTTTGTATTAAAATTTTTATAAGCAATTTATTTTTGTTTCTAATATATGTAAAGTATATATTTTTTTAAACAACTTAACTACATGAAAATGCTTACTTAATGAAATAAGACTATCACTAATTTTTAACTATATATGCAGAGGGAAAAAACAAAATTATTGTACATTATAATAGAGAATCCAAATCAATTATTTTTAAGATAGCTTTGTACATTTTATATTTCTAATAATTTCGACATAATCAAACCAATAATTCCAAAGACTTACTTCATAGAGTTCTTTCTCTGGGTAACTTTATCCGGTTTGGGTGTCGGTTTCTCTGTTTTCCTCTCCGGTTTCTTGTCCTTGTCTTGTTTGGTCGTGGTGGGGGTTATATCCGCTGGTGGGGTGGAAGGTTTCTTAGGTTTAGTGGCACGGGCAGCGGCCGCATAGTTGATAGGTTTGAATCCGGTTGTGGACGTTTCTTCGGCATTGGACTGTTGGGGCTGTAATAGAAATTTCATCATAAAGCCCTTTCAAAAATAAACTTGCCGTTCCAAGCTTAAGACTTCAAAAAACCAGAGGGTCATTTCTGGACAAATGCTTCGCTATGTTCAATAAAGTTCCACAAAATATAATTGACCTGCCCGTAAATAAATTTAAAATTCATGGAAAGAACATACTTATGAGTAAAGCCTATTATAAAGTTGATGATTTTAAGGACCGCAATGTATGGAATTGATAGCCTTCGCTTTGTTCTATAACGACTAATTATATGTACAACCTATGTCCTACAGACTTTGAAAGTTGTATTTATTATTGTTTTAATACGTACTATTTTGGTAATGACATGATTTATGTAAATGTCATTGCTTATGATAAAGAGCTGGTAAGTTTCTTTCGTTTGTTCTTCTTGTCAGCAAAAAACTTTTTTTGGACGATTCAAAAGTGCTTACTTGAATAAAAACATTATCATTTAATTTCAAGTCCCCTTCACAAGGGCTCAGGTCTTCTTTATGGATGGTTGAGGATGGGCCATACCCCTCCACACGGTCCCAATACGGATTGGAGGATATTAACGACTGCAAATTCAGCCGGAACCAACGGATTAACGCGCCTTCCAGGGCACGGAGTAATAATTTTTGGTCACCCATCCCGAGACCTATACGAAAGTTGCTTAATAGAAATTTATTTCACTTATAAAGTAGTACTCAAATACTCTAATAATTACAGTCTAATAGTTTTATGCTCTAGGGAAAGGCTTTTTTAAATTTTATTGTATTTTGTTTTGTTTTTGTTTTTAATATTAATTAAAAGCAAAATAAAATATATATTTAACAGAGCTCACATACAACAAATATGACTTCTTTTTTTTATATAATATAACTAGCTTTCCGCCAGTGGTTTCGCCAGCGTGCTCTTGTATTATACATAAAAACCTTCCTTTTGAATCACCCTATCTATGAAAACAAACCGCATCAAAATCCGTTGCGTAGTTTTAAATATTTAAGCATACATATGGATATGGGGACAGAGGAAGCGACTTTGTTTTATACTATGTAATGATAGAACCATTAGACTCGCATTTAACCGAGTAATTAATTACTAAAATCACATTCTTTTACCTTAGCCGTTTCCGTGACCGGAGATTCCGTCTTCTCTTCCACTTTCACTTCACTCTTCACACTCTTCGTAGGCTCTTTCTTCTTCTGCGTCACTTTAGGTTCCGATTTAACCGCCTGTGGTTTGACTTTAGCTCTAATTTCTGCTTTAACGTTGGTCTTCTTAGCGTCTACTTTGGGTTTAGTATCTTTCTTGTTGTCTTTGTCTTTCGGTCTTTTGTCTTTGTCTATTTGTATATCTGCCGCACTGACTTCTGGTGTTTCTTGTGTTGGTGATTCTGCTGTAAAATAACAATTATTTTTAATGTACAAATAGCAGACTTAATGCCTTAAAGCATTTTAATAGTCAACCGGAGAGTTATGGACGGAGAACTTATAAGAGTGTTGCAACAGAAGAATTAAAAAATATTAAAACATTATAAATAAAAAGTTTCTTTAAAGAAATTTAAAGAAATAAAAATATCAGACAGTATACAAAAAGGCGGCCTTATTGCGATGCAGTAATCTCTTCCAGGCAATCAATGTTGATACAGAAAAAACAAGCGACAGGTTCAAATAGATATATACCCAAAGAGAGAAACCGATATGTATACGAAAGACATAATCAAAAGTTGGAAAGTAACTGTTTAATTGTATAAGGAAATATCAGAAAGTGAGAGCTTTCCTAATAATTTCAGATAACGAGTTCCAAAACCGAACAAATAATTACAGCTCGACTTCAAAAATAGATTTTTCCATAACTTCAAAGGTGCTTAATAATCTTAAAAGATACTTGATAAAAAAGGTAAATAATTGGCTTGAATAGTCAAAAATATCAAGTTCATACTTTGTAGTTCATATAATTTGTAGATTTGTCTTGTATTTATGTCAAAACAGTTATACAGGGTTATGGGTAATTAGACCGGATTCTTTTAAGGGGTCGTAGTGGAGGTCATTTATAATTATATTCACCCCACATTGTATATCTGTAAGTTATTTTTTTTAAATGCATTTGTTTACAATTTTTTTTTTTATTTAAAACTCTGTATTTTCTGTTTGGGTCAAGATTTGGGTTTTATTATTTATCAGGAACTGGAACGTTATCTCTCCAAAACTGTCAACAAAATTAGACTCTGATCATAATCTAATGTTTTCAACATTTTTAAAGAAAAATATAAATACGATTTATCACAAAATTGGATCATTTCGGATACATAAAGTGAGGTGAAAATAATTGTAAATGACCTCCCCTACGAACCCTTAAAAGGATAAAGTCTAATTACCTATAACCCTGTATAATTTGAGCTATCGAAACGATATTATGATATTGTAACTCATATCGCTAGTAACATTATATTACGAACCTGTGACTTCAGGCTTATGATCGGTTGCATCCACACTGTCCTGGTTCTCTACATTCGATTGTGGTTGTGATTCTTCAGGAGTTTTCACTGACTCCACCGGTGGAACTTCTACCGTCTCTATTCTTTCTTCGGCTGTACGAAAGAGACATATGTGTCATTACAATAAACGTTAAATATGAGGGGGGGACTAAAGAAATATGAGTGTCTCGGTGGAGTAGTGGATAAGCGCCGCAGCCGCGCTCGTAGTCGTTAAGTAACTTTCGCAAGGGTCGGTCACGGGATGGGTGACCAAAAAAATTATTATCTCGAGCTACTCCGTACTTCGGAAGGCACGTTAAGCCGTCGGTCCCGGCTGCATTTTGCAGTCGTTAATACCCGCCAATCCGCATTGGGCCAGCGTGGAGGGTCATGGCCCATTCTCCTTAACCATCCATAAGGAAGGTCTGAGCCCCTGCAGTGGGGACATAAAAGGGCTGGTGAAGATGAGGGAGGGAATAACAAAATCGTCTCGTACACTCATATCTATAGTCGAGCGAAGTAATTACTTGAGAAAATGACATAAATTAAGCATAATCTATAGACGACAATTTGAATTAAGCAAGAACTGTTAATCTATTACAAATAAATATAATTGAAGTGTTTGTTTGTAATATTAAAATAATCACTCGCAACTAAATGTATATGTATGTATATGTCGCAGCCAAGTGGTACAATCAGCCGACTAATTGGACAGCCCTTTAATTGAATAGCGCCATTTAATTCCGTTATAGGGCTAGCCGCCTCATTTGGCGGAAAAAAATTGGTATATAGATTTTTTTTTTCAATATATTTTGTTTCTCTGTTCCGGGTAATCTCTGAAACGGCTGGACCGATCTCGACGGGCCTTTCACTGGCAGATAGCTTACGTAATAAGGAGTAACATAGGTCACTTTCCACGCGAATCAAGTCACGGGCACAGCTAGTCATCATCATCACCTGCCTATTCACGTCCCCAAAGCGAGGGCTCAGGCCTTCCTTATGGGTAGTTAAGGATGGGCCATTACCCTCCACGCGAGCCCAACACGGACTGGAGGGTATTAACGGTTGCAAATGCATCCGGGACCAACGGCTTGCGGACGGAATTAAGTAGCTCGAAATATTTTTCGGTCACCCATCCCTTGACTGACCACTGCGAAAGTTGCTTAACAACAACGATCCCGGTACTCTTATAAACGTACCTAGTTAGATTAGAACGTTCTGAGTCGACCTCGGCCCCACCGGTGTATTCGAGGCATACCATCACTCGCAATGTGCCTAGTTTGAGGTCTTCATTTCGACAAAATGAGGGAGTACTCGTTTTTTCAATTTTGAACCACCTCATTTAGCTCCTCACTTTTTGAGGCTTCAAGCACGAGGTGCGAGCACAGATATTACACCTCACGCAACACAATAGCGAGTTGTTTATAATGAAAAGGCAACTCGATACTTTCTCAATATATTCAAGATTGAGGAAACGGGTTAAGTTTTATGAATTTTGTGGATCGAGTCAAGTTTGTTTATGTGTGGCTTCGCAAATACTTATTTAATTTTTTATAGATAAATGATATTAATTAGTCTAAGTAAAAACCATATTAACTTTGGTATCGGTTTTATTTATATTCCGTTGTTCCTTTTTTAACATCGATTAATTAATGATTATTTTTCGATTCAATATATAAATGATTAATCGATTTAAAAAATGGAACATTTAACACTATTAAAAATAAGTTACGTGTTGTGGTCATTTTGTAAAATAAAAACCAACAAGAAAATTCTTGGAATCTAAAGACAAAATATGTTTTACTAGCTTTCGCCTGCGGCTTCGCCCGCGTGGTCCCTAGGGAAATGTTAAGTGGGATAAAAAGTATCCTATTATCTAAGTCACCTAATATCTTATCTGTATCCAAAATTTCATCAACATCCGTTCATTACTTTTCCGCGTGATTGACGTACAAACATCCAAACAAACTTTCACATTTATAATATTAATAGGATAATAGGATTTAGCATTACCGACTCCCTCCCTCATTTTGTACCAAACGGCAACGTTGCGCGCGCCTCTCTACGTGCTCATTCACTGCTACTACATTACCTATCCTCACCTCAAATGAGGGGTAACTCGCGAGCCCCTCACCAGGGAAAATGAGGTACTCACTCATCCTCATTAAAAAAGAGTGAGTTACACAATTACACAATTAATATATATAAACGTATATACTGTGTAATGAGAAAATACATGTGACCTATATGTCACATGTAGTTTCAACGGTGTTACCGCGATTCAGTAGCGCATAACGCCATCTAGTAACGTGTAGACGAATCATCGTGCTACTCTAATAAATACGCTCTTACCAGCTGGCGGTTGAACTCTCGCTGTGGGCACAAACTCAGCGGCCAAAGGATTCAATGTGGAACGTGAAACTGTCTCTTCTAACGATAGCCCTGTACCATTACTCGTTCTAAAACAAACAAAAAGCAATATAACATTAATGAAATGTATTCTATAATCAATGAAAATTAATAATGTGCCGATTCGATTATTTTACACATCGATTAATCGATCATAGTTTTACTCGTGATCGATGAATAATCGATAATAATCGATTCATGTAACGATTATTAAATATTTTTACCCCAAAAGTTTATTAATGATTTCAGATTAATTCCATCGTATTTTAAAGGTATCTTAGTTAATGAAAAATAGTCATAAATCAATTTTAAGACAATGTTTACTATACCAGCATTGTGCATGCAAAATTTATAGAATTAAACTAGCTGTAACCTCAGCAGCTCAGTGGTTAGAACAGTCGCACGGATTGCGAAAGATCACGGGTTCGAGTCCCATCTCAGGGTGCCTGGTACCAAGTGCACTTTAAGCATTTTTCATTTAGAATACACTATACTTTATGAATTATATTTAATATTTATTATCAGTATAGAACTTGATCCATTACACCCATTCCCCCAAAGTATCCCTGCTGTTAAATTTACTTCTTTCACCGTACATTGATTGGAAGAGACTGCTGATTAGCAATGATGCTGCCTTTTAATTACTCCTTCTCTTCTTAAGGTGTTTTTATATATTGTAAACTGTATTATTCCAAATGCAATAAAGAGTTTATCAGTAATTATAACTAAATAATAATATATTGTCTCGGGTGCTGGGTGTTATGGTACCTTTGATGTCTCAAATACTCTATTAGTACAGCTTTAGCCACTCATCTTGGAATCTGAGCAATGTTTCTGATGTTATCTAATATATATTTATTTAAAAAAATATTAATAATGACTCACGTTGGATACTGTGTGTGTCCGTTGGCATTCGGTCTGTTTCTCTCCCTCTGTTCGTCTTCCAGCATAGCTTCAATGCATTGTTCCATTAGAGCTTCTTCTTCCAATTGCTGCATCACCTTATGAACAATTAAAATAGTTTATTAACAGACAGACGGGTTTCTGAATTGAGAATTTAAAGTTAAGCACGTCTCAAACCGTACTTAAGCCATCTTAAACGTCACTTAAGCGGGTTTTCGGTTCCCATTTTATTTTTTAAATGATCAGTTCTTTGTAAACTAGGACTATGTGCTACTTTAAACGTAAAATAAATAAGTTAAACCAGATTTTAGCAGCGTTTCTTCCAAAGGTCAGACTACACAAAGTGGTGCATTCCACAAGTTTAAGCCCTTTCATTTGATACCCATATTCGGTGGGTTGTTCAGAAATATGTACGCCGCCATTTTGTTACGTCGGTCATTTTGGATTAATAATAACACCAATTTTATATAATTTCACTGTTATCAGCAGAGCAATCCCGTAAAAATCCGAAACCGATTTCGTATTCATTAAAGTGACCAAACTTCCTGATAGATTTTATAAACTAATTTAATACTACATGTATTTCAGCGAATTATTTACATATATTTTCCCTGCTTTTTTCAAGTTATCAAAGCGTAATATTTTCCAAACAAGCGCAATAAAATTTAATATATTAAATATTTTTAAGCTAAATTGCTTCATCTTTTCGAACATATAACCTGTATTTTCACTTGTGAAAACATCCCTATTAACCTCCCTCTCATAAAGATAATACCCCCCTCATAAACACGCCCCCTCTCAAATTTATTTTGTTAAATATTTATAACATATAACCTGTATTTCATTTGAAAAAATCCCATTCTCCTCCCCCTCATAAACATACTACTCCCCCTTCAAACCTAATACTCCCCCCCAACAAATAATAATAATAATGTCTTTATTTGCAATAAATAGGGTTATATATACAGTGATGATATTGAAGTTTAAGAGCTTTGACCTATTTAGCCATCTTGAACAGCATGCAAAAAAAAATATAAAAAAATAATACCTAATAATCATAATCAAATTGATGTAACTTAAAATATTTCATAATTACATAAAATTGTGTCAAATTTAACTCTCTCAAATTTATTTTGTTAAATATCTATAAAATATAACCTGTATTTTCACTTTTAAAAACATCCCCATTCTCCTCCCCCTCATAATCATACTAATCCCCCATCAAACCTAATACTCCCCCCCTCAACAAACCTGTTTGTCGAACTCCTCCTCGTTCTCCATCCACATGTAGTCCTCGAAGTCGTCGTGCGGCGGCGGCTGCACCGGGTAGGCCCCCGCGGGCGGATAGAAAGCGCCCGCCATCACGTAACCGGCTATACAAATACGATATGGATCATCATTAATCGGCCCCTTTACGTCCCCACTGCGGACTGAAACCCTCCTTACGGTTAACGAGGGTAGGTCACAACCCTCCACGCGGATCCAACGCGGATTTGAGGGTGTTAACTACTGCAAATGCAACCTGGACCAACGGCTTAACATCTAAAGCACGGAGGAATTAGATCTAATATTTTTTTTTTGGTAACCCATCCTGTGACCTGCCATAATAAAATGGATGAAATGAATGAATGATTATCCTGGCCCATCAATAAGCTAGTTGACAACTATTTTAATACATTTTATTAGTAAATAGTCTCATGTCTGTGACTAATAATTTCTGAGATACGGAGCTATGTTTAAGGAACTCAGCCGAGAACGCTCCCTACAAATTCAAGTCACAAAAAACGTATCGGCATCTGGACAGTCTTTATCTGTGTGTTTATGTTTATAGCTTTTATAACGATGTAATAATGTAATGCTTTTTTTACAATTTTTTGTATAATATTTTCCAAATTTTTGTCATAAAATTTATTTTGTTAAACAAAATGGTACATATTATCCAAAAACCCGTACAGGGCCGTCTATAAATTACGTCACACAAAATTGTTTGTCTACACAAATTCTACTAAATATAATGTCTAATGTCAGTGCGTCGAACCTCCCCCCCCCCCCCCCTAACGTGTGACGTAATTTATGCATGGCCCCTATTTCCACTTGTATGCCTCACTCACCAGGTATATGTCCTCGGGGGATGTGTAGGGGATATACCGGTGGACGATGCACGCCCGCGTCCCCACTGCCCACCACTCCTCCACCCACACCGCTGTCAATTATTACACCGTTCGGCTGGAATGTAACAAAATGAGAGTAAAGTACAGACAGTCTTTGCTTTTAAGTCATGTTATGTACCAGAGCAGTGACATAAACAAAACATGGTACACTTTTCTATATATTTGTAGGATACACATGTATAACTACTATAGCGCGGTCGCCGAACAGAGACAATTTCGTACAATGACCCGGCATTACACATCTCTTTCACTCGGTACGCTTCTCTCCTCAACTTGAATGCCTACCTTCTTAAATTGAAGTAATAAAAAAATACGTATCTAATATTTTTATCTTAGGGGCCGTCCATTAACCACGTGATGTTTTTACAGAATTATTAACCCCCCCCCCCCCCCTTGGTGATACTTGGTGAAGTACTACCTCCCCCCCTCCACACAAATCACGTAATATATTACTACACCCCCCTCGCTCCTTGTGATATTTCGTGATTTTTTACGAATCCTATTCCCCCGCCCCCCTTTCGACCCTCACGTGATTAATGGGCAGCCTCCAACTAAGTGACTAAATAGAATTTCTTTTTTTGTCACCCAGTCGTCATCCCTATGAATACGCCCTGGACCCAAGTGGCGGGTCATGGCCTATTTTGCCTATTCCATCCAGGTTTGCCGGTGAAATGAGGAAGAAATTGAACTTAAACTGTTTAAGATATACATTAGTACGCACAAAGGTCAACGTACGAAATATTGTTAATAATATTGACGTATACGTACGAAGATAATATTGAAAAACTAACCTGCCACTGTCCATTTTCTTCATTGGAATAATAACCCCCAGTAGTCTGTGGTATTTTCATTTTTGACATACAATTTCAATACAATTTGTTTCCCATACACTAAACTTGTTACTTATAATTAACTCCTTCAATTTTCTAATGTGGCTGTGATATTGTCATAAAGTTGTCAACGTGAGTGCCAGATATTGTGTCTATATTCATTTCTGGTGATCTAAGCTGTAACAAGAGAAACGCAAGTTACTTTTGAGGTATCAGGTACGATTCTCTTTCTGCAGAACGACCGCAAACTCCTCTAACTATATTTCTAGCCACAGATATTTAATTTTACTACTTTGATCATCATCATCATCATCACCAGCCCTTTTACGTCCCCACTGCAGGGGCTCAGGCCTTCCTTATGGATGGTTAAGCAGGATGGGCCATGACCCTCCACGCTGGCCCAATGCGGATTGGAGGGTATTAACGACTGCAAATGCAGCCGGGACCAACGGCTTAACGTGCCTTCCTACGTGGAGTAGCTCGAGATAATAAATTTTTGGTCACCCATCCCGTGACCGACCCTTGCGAAAGTTGCTTAACGACTAAGATCGCGGGCCGCGGCGCTTATCGACTACGCCACCGAGCTACTCTTTACTACTTTGATATACTCTGATAATAAAGAATGAAACTAAAAGACAATATTCGCTAAGGTGTCCCTCCCTAGTCAATGTCCAAAATAAAAGATTTTCAATATTGTCTAAGCTGTGTTTCAGTTTGTTGTTTCAGATGTCCATAAAATAATTAATAATTTTTTTTTGCATCTGAGCAACATGTGTAATGTTTTCCAAATATTTATAATATACTTAGAGATAAAAAAATCGATACAGAAATTCTTTCACCTACAGGAACCTATGTCATCACGCGTATGCTAACAGGCAGTGACGGAAGGGGCGGCCCAACTACACCGGAAAACATCAAGTTTTATAAATATGATATGTAAAATTGGGAGTACCACTGGTAGATTTCATTTGTAATTAATAAACACCAGGAACAATCACAAGAAGGAACTGGCATGCATAGGATCAGACGCAACACCAATGGGCTCTGAGCCAATCAATCCTATACCGTTAAGCTGGCTGTTGGTAAGATACGTGAACACTCGAGTAAACTACATCAACAGTACTGGCACACTTTGGAGAAAGCAGGTAGGTCATGGCAACTTAAACAGAAACCTTTTTAATATAGGTGCCGAGAGTGTTTCTGGCAAACTGGGATGGCTAGAATAACCCCTGGCCACGCACCCACCGTACACAAAATAGGCGCAATTTTGACGTCGACTTGCGGAGACGCCCGTTGATAGAAGGACCAATCACTAATTGCGTGTGTGTGATGAAAAAATGGTTTTTTAGTAAACAATTATAAGAAATTGAGAAATTGGAGATTCCAAGATGTGAAACTAATACAATCAACAAGGGCTCAATTAAAGTTGAAGCCCTAGGCAAGACACTGGAATTTACTTAATTATAATGTCCCACAACCAAATCTTCAAATCCAACTCATAAGAGGTATGGAGTCATCAGATTCAAAAAGGAAAAGACACTAGGTAAAGGCATCTTAAAAGGATTTTCTGAGGTTATGGAAGGTATAATGACAATCCTGTCAAAGATTTTCACACAAAAAATTGCTTTCTATTTTAATAGAAAAGAACTCCTAAAGCCAACCAACTAGCATAGCTTTGCTCATCCTATTAATATTATAAAGGCGAAAGTTTGTAAGTATGGATGTATGGATGTTTGTTACTCTTTCACGAAAAAACTACTGGACGGATTTGGATAAAACTTTACAGCAATATAGGTTATACATCAGAATAACACATAGGGTACTTTTTACTGGGAAAACTTCTCACTCCCACGGGATACCGACTTCCACGCGGACGAAGTCGCGGGCGTCCACTAGTGTTAATTAAATGTAATAAATGATATTCTAATTGAGGAAACAGGGCAAACATCTAAATTCTTGGAACTACATACTGGAGTTCTGCAAGACCAATACTATTTATAAGGTAATGTTCAACTTCCACTTCTAAAAATAATCACTTAATATATAATAATGAACCTCTCATTATTTATGTTGTGTACACATCATTATTATTCATGTCATGTCATTACTGTATGATGTTTTAATTATAATAGGAAATCCAAAAGGGTGAAACTATTCACATTCATATCCTTTGTAGCTCAAGTATACATGATCTTAATTTTTTTCATAGTGTATATGGAAGTGAGACCCTTCTAGGGATACAGTAAATCGTTTCGTCACCGTTTAGTATTGCCATCTTGGTGGTTTAGCAATATTTGGCATATAAATTACTTTTTGCCGTTTTTCAGTGTGATATATATGATAATAACGAAAAAGTGAAAACTGACAATTGTTTCTTTGTACCACTAAACCGCATGCATTTTCTCAATTGATGCTCGAAAAAACAAAGATCAGTCGCATGCTCACAATAAAATGGTAGTGTCATTTGGCATTTATTAGTCTGGATTTTTGGAAATCTGATGGCATTTGACTCTAGATCAGCCGCTCTCACTTATTAGAAGGAGGCAACACTGTGTAACGCACATTTCATTTGCTGCTGCTGAAAAATCATTCACACACATGGTTGGTCATGGATGGTCTCTTACAGTTGTTTACAAAAATATTGCTATAGCGAATGTTGTCACAGTAAAGTAGGCATAAAGGTCAACATACAAAATTCTCTCTGTTCCGCGACTGTGCTTTACCATTAAATGTTGCTGCATGGACTCGCTTACAACACTGAGCAGCCCTTGTGATATATTCATTAGAATATAAAATTGGGAAATTTCAAGTATAAAATATCCATTTGACGACAATATCAAACAAATTTTGTTTTCCTTTTTACTACAGAAATGAGTTTTTTTTTTTTTCAACGGTGTTCCTCTATGTCTATCTATCTGTTCTCTAATATGAAATGTTCTTCAAATATAGTAACAAGTTCAGACAAGAATCAGGTAATTTGCTTCAGAGAAACCCTGTGTGATAATTATCTTGATAAATATACCTTGAAAATTATAAAACACTACATAAACTCTTTTTGTACTTTAGGACTTGTTTTTAAATGAAAATCATCTTTTAACAACTATTTTTATTTTTCTGATAAAGAAAATTGTCTATGGTGGACCTACAAAAACAAAAAAAAAATTAAAAACCCCCTTTTTGTATATTTTTTTAAATTTATATAATGTATATTTAATTTCACTTTTTGTTGAATAACATTTGAATGTTATTGTTTATGTAATTTAATAATTTTAAACAAAAATAAAAGTTTGCACTATAATGAATTACCTCAAAAAATAATTATCTCGCAAAAAGAATTATCTTGGTAATTACGAACCCTGATTTGCTTGCACGAGAACATTATTGCAAGATGTTGTTTCTATTCAAAATATTTAGACATTTTAAGTAGCTTGGCTTCTTTACACGCTTAAAAATATCTCATCTTTTGATATGTGATTAGATAGATAGATAATTAGTTTATAGGACTACTAGTACCACTACATTACAAGGTTATTGTGAAATACTCAGTCGAGGTATTATTAATATTAGCAACATCAGAATGATTCGCACAACCACACCAAAATGTGAAACATAAGTCCAATGCATCATTTTATAATAAATTTAGAAATTATTTAATAAGAAACAAATTGAGGAAACAAACTTTTCAAAACACAATATAATAATTGATTATTAATCTCTATCTCATTAAAATCATATAAACTGTAGTAAATTACTACATTAGTATTTCATCAAACTATTTAAAATTTGCTTAGTCTAACTTAAACAACACAAATGCCTCACTGCACTTTAAGTACAAACTTAGTACAAGATATTTTACAATACAACCTATTTAAGCACTTTAGAATGCTATCATGCTCCATTAAAATAAAGTGCCTACAATATAAAGTGATTATTTATGATAAGGCAAAGGAAAAGTTACACCATTTTTGACACATACAGCCACCTCAATCCACATCATCACAAAAAAATGCATACAGATAAAATTAGTATTAAAAAATAAAAGGCAGTAAACTCCAATTACTTGCACCTCGAGTGAATTTAATAATAATAAAAATAAAAAAAACGACCTCTTTCGTGTTGCTTTAAAAGTCCATGCAATTAGCGAATGTTATTTTATGAAAAGTAATGTCAATAGAAGTAGCAACACGGCCGAATTGTGGTAATCTGATAAAATATACACTTTCTATTTTAACGGAACCATCCACGTAAGAGGTTTTCCTTACCGCTATATCATAGTTGTAAACACAAACTTATTTTTGAAATTAGAAACAGGAACAAGTGTATAAGCCAAGCGTAAAAATAGATCAACCTAGAATTCAAAATACATAGGCACTCGAGACCCAATTAAACGAATGCATGGCGACGTTCTAGCTGCATTACAGACGCACTCTGGACAACGTATACTGAGCAAGAGCCATGAAATTGGCAAATAATTACAACAATTTTAGCACGTGTCCATTTAACAAATCGTTTCTTCTAGCAACGGAAAAGGTACTCACTCTTATGATGAAGTTTGTCGTGCCTCTACGACTTTAAAATAATATTTCGCCGTGCTCTATACGTGTTCCGTAATTTTTGACGCACTTTTATTTCCTTAAATATTACCACTATAACCTCTAATTTCACAATTTTACACACACGACGATCGCCAGCCTTCGTGGCGCAAATGGCTACCAATTTGAACTTCGTCCGATACCAAAACCCAAAGAACTAAAAAAAAACCATGAACAACTTCAGAGTAGTTGATGCCGGTGTTTCGTTTGGTGATGTAATTTTTTTATTTACTGTAGAACAATTATATATAAATTAAAAATTACCTTTCTTAGCGACTATCATACTCTTGTAAATTTTGCTGAGCCAAAATGATTGATGTATAATTTGTTTTTTTTTGTATAGATTTATAACATACTGGCTGGTTACGTCAAAGTGACAGTTTATACTTTATGATTCCAATCCTAATACATTATTTAAAATGTAATTTGTATGTTTATATTCCAAAAATAACAAAAAAAAAGTTGAAATGTATTTTTGTCGTCTAGGCAAAACAGTACTTTTAGATACTATGTAGTTTGTATTAAGATGTGTGATGAACAGGCTGCCTTAGGAACAAGTATCATATTCATGCAATTAGAATGCACCAGAAACTTGTGCCCTCCTAGTGTATGGTATATAATACTAACAGTATATTAATTAATTCATTTAATTATTAAATCTCGATAAATGCACTCAATATATCGCTTTTACATTGATACTATACATGAATAGATATTATTTCATCCGATATACAAAATACTGTAAAAACATCAATGCACATTAAACATAAATGCACATTCGCAGCGGGCGAGAACTTGACGCAGAGTACCTATGTCGTATACGATACCTAGGAAAAGTCGTTCCGATTGCTAATATTGAAACAATGGAATAATAAAATAACGCGAAATAAAATTAATAAAACCGGTTATTATCATAATAAGCGGTCTGTATCAGATGCCTTTGCATTATATTGAAAAAAAAAAACAAACACTGGCTGTAGGGATGCAAGATTTATAAGCAATTTGAAATATTTAAATCGGTATATGTCAAATTTAGTCAACTTCAAATGATCTTGTATGTAAAAACCTTATACATATTACACATAATTAATAAAATTTGTTTTATTGTTGCTTTCTTATAAATTTATTCAAAATAAGGAATTTCAATAATTGGTGTCAGCTCCTAAATTTAAGAGCGGTGTGTAATGGTGGCTTGAGGTTATAATGGGAAAATATCTCATCGCCACTTTAAATACAGTGGAACTGGGTTGGATATATTTTTATGAAATTAATTATACAAAAATAATATAATGATAAACAGGGGTGTATTTACCCTAGGGCCAGAAGGGCTATAGCCCGTTGCGGCAGGCCGCGAGGGGCGGCCCAGGGTTAGGGCTTTGGTTTGGACGTTTGAAAAAATACAAAAAATATTTTCAGACTTAAGCCTAGAACGCCCCTGAGCCACCTTTCCACATGTTGATTTAATGTCTGAAGAAATTTGAAATTCAATTAAAGTATGAAAGCCGCCCCTTGTGATGTGCGTGGATTTAATGTCTGGAGAAATTCGAAATTAATTGAAGTATGCAAGCGGCCCCTTGTTCTTTCCTGAACTGGTTGAACCGTCTATTTTTTTTCCGCCTCGGTTTTTTTATTTTATGTCTGAAGCAAGTCTGAAGCCAAAAAAATAATTTTAGTATTTAGCCTAAGTCGCCCTGCGCAAGTTAATTTCTAGAAGTTCTAAAATGTACAGGGTAAGCTTTACATTGGGGCACCTTGTTCCATTGGTTTAAAAGCGATATTGCAACAAAACTGTACAGGTTGATCTGCACTTGACTGTACTAGTCTATCTAGAAAAATAATAAAGATTTCGTATGTTCGGAAGATATCAATAAGTATGCAAATCTATCACAACGTTCATCTAGGTATGGTAGGCGCTTTGTTTTCGTAGAGAGAGATAGAGGGGTGGAGCCGGCGGGGCGGGGTCACGCCGCGCAGGCGCCGACGGTGGCCGCGGCGGCCGACGGCGGAGGAGGGGTGACGCCGTTCGGTTCGTTCGTACCTACTTTACTTGTTTCAAGTTATCTCTCGTTTGCGCATCTAATTGTAAGATTAAAAACAATAAGGTAATCAATCAGTTAACAGTTGAGTCAGTGCTTATATATTAATTAAATTAATCCAGTTCATGTCATCATGAATCTGAATAAAAAAAAATGAGCGGCCACGCTTACAGAAAAAAAGCGTTGGAAAGAAGAAACAAAGAAGAAAAGCTTGTCAAACAAACAGCAAAAATTGATAGTTTTTTGAAAAAGAACAATGACGAAGTGTCAAGTTCTACAAGGTTGAATGACCTAGCAGAGATCGAGGCGAAAGAGGTTAGTAAAATGAGTTTTTTTAATACCTAACCTAGATTTGATATCTTTATAAATTTTCAATGTCAATCTTTATAGGTACGAATATAATGTAGCTTACAAATTTTAATATTATCTACTCTACATTCGTTTCGTATTGGTAGAAAATATCATCATTTCTGCAATTGTGAGTTGGTTGTAGGTTTGTAGGTACCTTGGTGAAGTAGGTAAATTGGTGACCAGCGGTTTGTTGTTAAAATTACAATACAATTAAAACTGCGCGGCATCTATTCTACTAATGGAATGATAATGAACGAACAACAAAAAAATATTCTCCAATTTTCTTCAGCGCAAAGACTTCAGAGTGCGCTGAACGGCAGTAAGTGAGGTGAGATGAGCATGCAAGCGTATTTTTCGTCCTAACCATCATAGGTACGGTACCTATAAGATAAGATATAAGGCGCGCTTGGCGTGGGCTTATTAATTTATTTATTTGAGCTCACTTCTATTTGTTTTCATGTTCAATGCTTTGTGCTTTAGTTTGGTTATATTATAGGTATTTATGGTATCAGTGTGTGATAGTTTTATTTTATTTACGCAATTAATTTTTCACCACTTCGTATATGGAATAAAATAAACATAAATTATTATATTAATGTAAAGTATTTTTCACGTCACGTTACTAACATATTATTTTGCTTTGTTAGATAGGTTCTTGTTTATTGTGTTAGTGCATGAACATGAACTTTTTTTGCATTTTTTCCAGATTACGGTGGAAGGGAAAAATAAACCCAATGACAATATAAAAGCATCCGATTTGACTACGCCAGATCAAGTCGCTTCTAATAGTACTAATATTATTAAGAAATCTAACCCTACTGCTACCGTGGCTTCCTGCTCAGCATCTTGCAATCCCGCATGTGATTTAATTTCAACTAGTCTGCCTGCACCTTTGCATGAAGATTCTGCTATGGTCGATAAACAAAGTGAACTAAAATCTTCAGCAGTCGAAAGTGATCCAGCTCTGTGGGTTGTAACTGAAGATTTAATAGATCATTTTTCAAGAAATGGATTTGAACAAAATATTGAAGGCGAAGATTTTTCCAAATCCAAGCGAAGATCCGAGGATCAATATCGCTTCTTGAACATAAAAATATTTAAAACTAGACTCATAAACGGAGAGAAAGTTTGTCGTAATTATTTAATATATTCAAAATCGAAGGATTCCATATTTTGTGGACCATGTCGTCTTTTCGAAAGTGAACATGGAGGTCAACTTACTTCTGAATTAGGTTTTTCTGATTGGAAACATGCTCACGAGAGACTTAAGGTTCATGAGTCTAGTTTGGGGCATAAAAACTGTTTGCTAAAAATGAAAAATCGGGGACAAGTAGAGACCCGGGTTGATTCTCAATTATATATACAATTAGAAGATGAAAAAAAGTATTGGCGTAACGTATCACTTCGAGTAGTTGTAGCTGTGAAACATCTAGCTACGCGTGGACTTCCTTTTCGTGGAAAGACAGATAAATTTGGATCCACAAATAATGGAAACTTTCTGATGATGTTGGAAGCTATTTCAGAGTTTGATCCATTTCTTGCCAAACATATTGAGCATTTTGGCAACCCAGGAAAGGGCAGCACCTCTTACTTATCATTTGCAACATATGAAAAAATTATTGAAATTATGGTTCACAAAGTTACCGAAACCATAATTGAGCAACTTCAAAAAGCCAAATACTTTTCTTTTAGTGTTGATTCTACTCCGGACATAAACCATGAAGATCAACTTTCTTTAATTGTGCGATTTGTTCAAGATAATGCAGAACCAGTTGAACGTTTCCTTTGCTTTCTGCCAAATACTGGTCACAAAGCAGAAGACATGTTGCAAGCCATTTTGAAGACTTTTGACAAACTGAATATCGATATTGCCAATTATAGAGGTCAGTCTTATGATAATGCAAGCAACATGTCGGGGCAGTATAACGGCCTGCAGGCAAAGATTAAAAAAAATGCCAATATGCAACATATATACCTTGCGCCGCACATTCCTTAAATTTGGATCCTCAGCAGCTGAGTGTTGCCCAGAAGCTACAAAGTTTTTTGGAGTATTGCAAAATCTGTACGTATTTTTTACAGGATCAACGGAACGTACAAAAATATTGCAAACATTTTTAACGGAACCTGAAAATGTAACCGTTAAAAGTTTGCTACATACGCGGTGGTCGGCAAGAGATGATGCTTGCTCGAGCCTGAATAAAAATTGGGAACAAATAATTAAAGCTCTGGAAGCAATAAAAAGTAACTCTTCGCAACAAAAAGCCTTAATCAAAAATGAAGCTACAGGTTTATTGGCTCAACTGAATTCCTTAGAAACAACGATATTATCGGAATTCTGGGGATCAGTCCTAAAATAATTTAATACCGTTTCTAAAGTTTTGCAAGGTGTGGACACAAACGTTGAGGTAGTCTCCAACCTTTACGATTCCCTGATTACTTTTGTGAAAAATCAACGCGAATTATTCGATGCATTTGAAAAAGCTGGAAAAGAAAAGTGTACTGAAGATTACAAAGATAGCCGGAAAAGGATAACAAAAAGAAAAAAACGAGACGATGAGCAACGCGAAGGAGAAGTAATTTTACAAGGACGGGACTATTTTAAAGTGAATACTTTTTTGCCAATATGCGACCAACTGTTGGGCGAGTTAAGGAGGCGTAAAACATCCTATGACGCTGTAACCGCCAAATTTGTATTTCTATCCAATTTAAGTACACTATCTGAGGCGGAAATTAAATTGAACGCATTATCACTCCAAAAGTCTTATCCTACTGATCTTGCGGATGATTTAAAGGATGAATGCATACTATTAAAGAATTTTTTGCCGTCTCAGGGACAAGAAACTAAAACAAGTTTACGCGAACTAAACTTATTAATTAATAAAAAGGATCTGAAAGTGGCGTTTCCTTACACTGAAATTGCGTTGCGCATATTTCTTTGTACTGCAGTAACGAATTGTAGTGCAGAACGCTCATTTTCGGTACTCAAACGGATAAAAAACTATTTAAGATCGCGTCTTATCGAAGAACGGCTTAATAATTTGGCAATTTTGAACATCGAAGCCGATTTAACAAATAAAATTGATTATGACGATGAAATAAACGAATTTGTCCACAGTGAAAAATTTTGTCCACAGAAAAAAAATGTAAAATATAAAATCGATAATTTTTTTTTTGTTTTCATTCCTTGATGGGGCGGAAAGCTACAGGAGCCCGGAGCGCGCAATCTTAAAATACGCCCCTGATGATAAATATAAACTTGAAGGAAAAAATCTGGGCTACGTTATAAATCCTGAATGCGAAGTGAAATAGTGAGCCTTTCACAAATGCCACATGGTAATATCAATCGTTGCATGTTAAAATTTAGACAAGTGATTGAAGATTTAATCCTTGGACTTCATTCAAATATTGTAATTTTTCCATATCGATATCACTGTTTCATCGATATCGAGATATATTTATATTTTTTATATATATCGGTTTACCGAAATTTTACCGTTGCATCTCTACACTGTTTATTTTTTTTTATTTAAGAAAGACGGAGTTTTTAAATTTTTGCTTCGCTCGAGTCTATATAATTATTTCTTATTTTGGACAATTTTGAAATCAATCACACAAATAAATCGTTTCAATATGGGCGCTCCATTTATGGAGCTGGAGAAACCCCTTGACGATATCGCGATGTTGTGTCGCGGCTGTCTCGCAGACTCCGGAGAAATGAAGGATATGTACGAATGGGGCTTGGCCGATGGCTTCTGTAAACTCACTGATGTTCAGGTACATACACCATGTCTTATCAGCCTACTAATGTCTCCTTGGTGGGGTGGATTAGCATACCTGTTCGCCTTAGGTCATGAACTATCAATCTAGGGTTACCAACTATACTATAAATTTGGTATTACAAACAAAATCCTCGTTGCAATCGGTCCTCTTAGATTACAAATGTTTCATTGAATGATTTGTATTGATTATTATTTACTTCAAGGCAGACTAGAGAACAGACCCTCCCGTTTTTACCATTCTAATCTGTTCAAGATTAATAGAACCAACCGTGTAAAGTAAAATGTAACGGTGTTGTCTTGTGGGGAAAGTCTACTGACGCTCGAAAGTGTTTTTATCCAACAAAAGAAATGTATAAGTATATTAACCAACATTGACAAAATGGATTCCTGTAGATCTCATTTTAAAAATCATTCCATATTGACATTGACTTGTTTGTATATACTTGTAAAACACAAAAACCTGTATTCTCCTATTAAAATTACTAAGCAAAACGAAACCAACGAAACCAAAACAAAATAAAAGTTAGGATTTTCTAAATTAAAAATTGTCCCGTCGAGTCCCCATTTGATGACAATCAAAATATATAACAACATACTGAACAAAATAAAGCAAGTAAAACAACTAAAACCATTTACTGAACATTTAAAAACATACCTTATTGACAAATGCTTTTATAATATTGGCGAATTTTTTAATGATAAATAGGCATTATGTATGAACAAAAATATATGTGTTAGGGAAATGTAAAACTTTATTAATTAATTTAGGACTGAAACTGTAAAAAAAAAGAACTGTTTTTTTTGTTAATATTATTATTATTTCAATTTAAATTATTTGAAATTGACATTAAATTTGAATTTGCTACACCCTTACAGGGTGTCGCATGAACTGTACTAATTGTTGAATTACTTTATAGTATGTGACATGCAATAAATTATTATTATTATTAAATAGTTATAATTTGTGTTACAATAGGATGACCAATTTTTCGTCCGTCTGGTAGGTTATTGATGAGTATTAAACACATATTTTTTGCATAATCAATAAATTACGGTGATACATTGAGTTGAAATTTTAACAACACCTCACCATTGTACATTTTCTACATAGTTATGATGTTAGGAAGCTTGCACTCCTCATCTTTAATGCCTATTATGTAAGCCATTTTTTGCTTAACGTAATAAAGTCTATTATCTAATTGATGGATCAAATTAATTATTCTTTTTTTGTACCTAAGCGTCATCCCTACTATAAAAAAATAATAAGAGATGGGTTCTAAAATTAGAAAGTTCTGTTAGATGGTTCAGAGCCTATTCAACTTAGTGAACCTCTGGTTTAAGCTGTTAACTGGCATTATTAAAAGTAAAACCAGGTCCATCTGCCCTAGCACCCCCCTAGGCTAGTTTTGGCTCATAAGTCATAAGTGCAAACATAATCATTATTCGAATAGACTTGCTTAGATAAGTGCTTTTGAATCGTCCAACATTGATCTGGCTACCACTCGATCAGGACGTCTTTTGGCTGATAAGAAGAACGAGCAAGAAACTCACCAGCTCTAGATACTGAGTGATGACATTTACAAAAACCATGTCATTACAGATCAATACATTATAAACGGAGCCAAAAAAAAAAAACGATGGTCCTAGAACGAGTGGCATAGGGATCATTTAATAATGATGGAAACAAGATAATGAGTTTAGAAGTAATCACCTATCCAGTTGCTGGATCATCTCTTGGCTCATGGCTTATAATTATAATGCATACATCATTATAATAATTCCTTTGACTAATTGCAGATGGAAAGTACAGAACCTATTTCACGTTTGCTGTGCATTAACTGTGAAGACACATTGGCAAAATGCATAAGCTTTAAGAGGCAATGTGGACAATCTGATGCACTTTTAAGGAAGCTAGCAAAGGTAATGTCGTTTGATCATCATAATGCACTATCAGATTATTTGTGTTAAGTGTTAATGATCTTGAAATGATAGAAAACAAAGAATGGAGAGATACTCAATGGAGTATTGTTCCTACAAGATAAAAACGCTCACATCACATCTGCTTATAGTCAATAGACTGATTGCAAATAAAAATAATAATAAAAAAAAAGTGTTATAAAAGGAAACACATACATTTTATTACATTAACAGACTGTCCAACACAACGACAAAGGTTTAGCTGGAATTTGGTTTAATATGTTGGTCTGCTAACAGTAATTATGGTTCTGTGTTAGTACATAGAATAAGATCTCATTGGCACTAACAACTTATAAATGTCTGTAAAAGTCTGAAATAAAGTGTTAACATTATCAATATAAATGGTTCCGCAAATTCAATCAGTCACATGACATTTTGAGCGTGACATCATATTTCAATTACTTGTTATTTTAATGTGGAAGTCCATTTTTGTTATTGAGTACAAGTTTAGGTTATATCTATATATAAAAAAATTTGTGTCACTATGTATGTTGCCAATAAACTCCAAAACTACTGAACCGATTTCTATCAAATTTCACATGTAGCCGTATTTTGGTCTAACTTACTGGATAGGTTAGTTATCATCTCAATTATTCGCTTATGTCGTGAATATAAACGAATAAAATGTTCTAATTAATTGTTTGTTAAGCAAGTGTTTATTTACTGTTTAGTTTTATGAAGTTTTGCAAATACACCCTAGATGGCGTTTATTCTAAAGTAATCTGCGGTAACGTTTCTTTCAAAGAATTTTGCGTAGATTACGTTTTCGATTAAGTTTTGTGTAAACTTCAGAACTGTTTTTTTTCATCTTTATTTCAAATTGCAATGAATTGGATTAATATCTCTAATGTTTCAAAGATAAAGTGCTGAAACATATTGGATATTCGTTGGTATTTTGTTGTACTATATTCGAACTTAAACATCAAGGTAATTTCATCATCAGCTCAAAAAACAACAGCGTTTTTGGAAAATATGATGCCCAAAGTAACTATATCACGCGGACGAAGTTGCGGGCAAAAGCTAGTATAATTAATAATAATCTAACATTGACATAAAAAAATCAAATATTGACATATAATTATAATTAAATTATCCGACTAAATGAGAAAATTGTGTAATTTAATAACGAATGGCATATTTGTTCAATGGTTCTTTGAATAAAGTCTTATTATTATTCAAGTTTTGGTTGGTCATAAACTTTGTTACGACAAAAAAGCTGTAACAGGTTTTGTCAAGAAACTACTGGCTGACCTGACTGTCTACTCAGCTGTCCCTGATATCTTTACCTCTATGATTATTTCTTTTCAGAAAACAGCAGATACCCAATCAAATGCTTTACAAACGGAAGGGAATACAATATCATACGCACTATATGATGACCATTTAACAGTGATGATCACATCTGAAGATACGCAAGCCAAAATATATCTGCCGTGCCCTTACCAATGCAAAAATAAGTTCCAAAAGAAACATGACCTACTCGCACATCTCATCAAATCACACAATGTTAACGAAAATAAATTTAAAATTGATTCACAATACTATTGCAAAGAAACCGAATGCTCTTATCATATATCTTCTGGTTCCAAATGGTTCTCGGGAAGAAAATTTCTAAACCAGCATTACAGAAAAGTACATAATCGCAAAATATTTACATGCCCCGTATGTAATCTAAAATTCTCTTCAGGATCCGATTATAATAGGCATTTGAAAACTTGTAATATGACATTCTCTTGTACAGCGTGTAATGCTAAATATAACTGTAGCGAAAAACTAACAGTGCATTTAATGAGAAAACATCCTGAATTACATAAACGTTTTAAAGAAGAAAGAAAGGCTAATAAAAGGAAAGCAAAACAAGAAAGCGAGACGAAAAAGGCGAAAACAAATTCAGAAAAGTTAGCTGAATTTATTTGCGACAGTCCGAAGCGAACATCAGCAACTCAGACACTAAACATTGAGGAATGTATAAAAAATGATTTTCCCCTGGTGCCATGGAATTCAATCCCTGGAAAGAACGACTCTAATGAATCTAAAAAAGACGAAATATCAACACAAACTGTATTTGAAGATTTGCTATCTATTAAATCGCAGACGAGCGAAGATGAATCTATATTCTTCTCGGAAACCGTTTCGCTTTCCGATATACAAACTCAAACATTTCCTTTAGAATTTGGATTAAGTCGTTCCAATAAAGAAACAATTACTTCTGAGACTCAATCGCCAAGCCTCAGCATAAAAGAGACTCAAACATGCTTCTGTCTTTATGATTCACCAAAACCGAATTATAGACTCTTTGATAGCATATCGTCAAGTCCATGTAGTATAAATTTGACTTCAACTGAAACTCAAACTGCAGAAATGAAGTCTAATATCAAGTCGGACGTACTTTTAAGCTTTAATTCTGCTGAGACTCAAACGCATTTTACTGACGACATTGATAACGATATTTGACGTTGGCAATATCTATAGAATATTTGGATGATATCCTAGGACGGGCGCCAGACATGTACAAAATTTTAGACGGAGTTTGAACGGACAGTTACAAAACATTTAAGTGAATATTTGGGTTGCCAGACTTGTTTTTAAATTATTTCTGGTCACATTTGTCGCAAATATGAAGACGACATAAAGGCATATAGAAATATTTTTTATTAGAAAATCGTTCGTCGTTTGCGGGGATTTTTGGATCCCATAATGATGGTTCTTTTTGAAGAAGCTCTAGAAATTCATTAACAACACCGTAACTAACGAAAATACAACACAAAACTGCTCAAGCTATGCTAAACATTGCTACAAGTCTGTCAGGCCATACTAACTTTGAACTTTGTTAATTTTATGTACGCTCTAAAACCGAAACAAACTCCAAAAGTTTATTCATACTTTCCACACATTCACAAATGCGTCTTCTTTGGTGTTTGAGCACATGTCTGGCACGGGCTTAATAGTTTCAAAATTTAGCTTTAAGTGTAGCGTTATAGTTACATTAGGTGAAAATAAATATTATATTTATCTGAAAAAAAAAGTTAGTTAATAAGCAATAGAGTGGTATGAGCATTCTATATATTCTTTTATTTGTATTAAATATTTATGTCTAGTCCAAAAATTGAAAATATTTACCATAGTTTTCACAGGAAATCTGAATCTGATGAAGGAAATATTTATAATAATGAAAAAAAAAAAAAAACTTTACATTACATGTCTTAAGTTATAGTCAAACGTGTAAGCATTTATTGTATCTTCTGAATATAATTATAAAAATGAATGTATGTACACACGTTACTAACGAATGACTGTACCAAATTGGATGATTCTTATTTGTTTGTATATAAAAAAAAGTATGAAAAAGAAAGTATTTATTAGATTTTATCAGAATTAATTTTTGCAATGTAATATAAAAATTGAATGACGATATCTGACAGAAGACTTTGACAGATCTTAAATAAATAATAAAAGATGGCGGTATTCAGTTGGTCAGCTGGCAATATTTATTTAACTGTAATTTTTAATGTAAATACGATCTGAATTTAATAAGATGGTAAATTTTATTATTAATTTGTAATAATTGTTAAGTTGGTTGTTAATAAAAATAATAAATGTTATGAAACTTGGATATTGTTGTATCTTTTGATCATTGCGGTATGTCATAGAGCTAAATCAATCTTTTGCTATTAATCTCTTCGGTCGCATCCCTTATAGTTCGCATGAAAGTAAACATCTGGCGGCGGCTTGAAATAAAAATGTGTAATCGATAATAGGCTAGTTGACAACTTTTTTTATTTCATAAATAAATAGTCCATTAACATCTGAGAAATAATGTCGAAGTAACAGCATGTCTGCGATTAATAGTTTCGGAGATACGGTGCTGTGTTTGTAGAACTGCTGCTAGTTGGCCGAAAACGCTCTTTACAAATTCAAGGCACTCAGTGACGTCACACGGTGCTACAGTAGCCAAAAATGTATGGGCGTCTGGACGATTTTTGTAATATCTTTGTTATTTGTGCGTTTATGTTTATAGATGTTATAATGAAAGTTGTTACATTTTTTATATCTAATTTAATGCCTTATGTATTTTAGCAAATTTTTGTAGTAGATTTTCTCTACTTTTTTCAAGTTTTCAAAGCGTAAAATTTTCCAAATCAGTGACTTAAAATTTGTTTTGTTAAACAATTATAAGTTAAAATGGTTCATATTTTTCGAAGATATAACAAAAACCTGTATTTTCACTTGTAGGACACAAGCCTATTATAATAATCAATATCGATGTATAAAGGCCGTATCTTTTAAAAGTAAAAAAATAAATAATCACGCGTTTGAAAATAACATACTTTCTTACGCGCCATTTTTTCTCCCGATCTAAAAACGATTTTGTTTTTTTTTTGTGAAAATATAATATATTTTCTTGTTATATAGATAGATTACTGAAAAAATAAATTTATATTTTTAATGACCGCTGGTTTGCGAACCTCTTAAGAGGCTCGCAGGAAAGGCGTGTCACGTGACCTGATCCTTTTAAAAAGGCTTATCTATCGAGTTCGTCTATCGAGCTTGGTGGCAAACTTTTTTTTTTACTCTGCGACTTGGCGATGAATATAAATGTTAATTTATTTTTACTAAAAATATTTGTTCTTCATGCTTCTTCACTGTTTTTTTTTTCGTTTGTATATCGTTTATACTTTAAATAAAAACTTAAATCATTAAGTAAGAACATTATCGAGAATGATTGTTTTGTTAAACAACTTTAAATCGTTATATATCCTAAACTATTATTTAAAATGAAAAATGATAAAAGGAACCTAAAGATGATTTTGACATACCTATTCAACGACACCCCACTTGACATAGTTCATGGACTTTTTTTTCATTTTGACAATATGGCGTCTGGTTATGAATTTTGATTACTGTCATGTCTTTAGTGACACTCGCAAGTTTAAGACGAATCGATTGACATAAGAATCATCAAAATCGGTCTACGCATTTGGTCTCTAGAACGCCACATAAAAACAAACATACATAAATACATAGATAGACTGATAAACACATCAACCAGCTTTGCGTCGCGCAGTCGGGTAAAAAAAACAAATATTTCACTCGCGACGATTTATCTATTATATCTATATATGCGAGGATCAAGGGATCCTAGACAAGGATCTGGGTGAGTATTGAAATCAGACTGAGCTAATATTAAAGTACTACTAAAGAAGCTCTGAGAAGGGACTGCTGACTAAGCAGTTGCTATAAACCTAACTACAGAAAGGTATAACAGTACGCTTGATGGTTCTTATGTTAGATTTACACCAGCACTTTTAAACGAAAATCTTTTTTTTTTATCCAAGATTGTCTAAGAGGCCTAAGATGGGACGAGTTTGCCCAGCAAATGTTTTAGTTTGCCCATTTGAATTTAATTTATTATTAACTAGCTGTTTCGGGCGACTTCGCTGGCGTAAGTTATAGCATAATTCACCTGCGTATTATGTAGCTTCCTGTGAGAGAAAATCGGTTCAGTACTTTCAGAGCCTTTTCAACTCAAGCGGACAAACATTCTCATATTTTCTCTTTATAATATTAATATAGAATGGGTAAGCAAATAAAAACAAACATTTAAATTTCATCAATTATTTTATCTATTAACGACATACACTAATTACAAAATGAAACATAAACGCCATCTAGTTTCCAATTTCAACACTAAGTTGTTTAACAAGAAAAATTCGTAGAATTTCAACATTGGACAAACGTCGTTCCATAAGGCCGCTAGTATCACAACAACAGGTGAGGGGCATGCGCATTTGTGAGATAAACATATATATCTATACATGTTCAATGTTATCAACAATCATACGAGTGTATGTATATACTCGAATTTAACGTATATTTAACATGGACATGACTCTAAAGTAAGGCCAGCAAAATAAGATTTAATACAAAAACAAATAACAAATGTTTTGTCACTCATCCTATGACCGGTCAGAGCGCGCTAACCTCTGCGCCAATGAGCTCCTTTATCCTATTATATGCAAATGACAATTATTATATTATATATATTTATGAGAAAACAAGCTATTTGGTAGCTATTTGCTATATTAACAACGTTTTCAATATTAGTTAATCACGTGATCAGTACTACCAAGCTTAATTTGTAAAAATTAGTAGATGAACCGCCAAAAATTGGTAGCTTTAGAGAGAAAAATGTAGATTTCACTAAACTGCATAAAATTAAAGAGCAGAACGAAACGACATGTTAACGGAAACATTTGCCAGGCCGCTTTCAGTTAAACGTTCGAATAACCTAGGTAACTATTTTTAAAATTGTCGATTACTTCAAAAGTAGTAGATTTACTGATAAAAAAAGCAGTTTTTGACCAACGAACAAATTATGTATATGAGATATGAGAAAGATATGAAACGGTAAGATAGTTTGCGTACTTCATCTCGTTTCGATGGCCTTACTTTACTATTAAACAGTAGTATCTAAAATTTATATAATAGACAGATATAATTATGATAAATTACATTTTTTATTACTGTACACTAAATAAACATATAGAAAATTCTGTGATCGCAGGCATATCAACACTATGACAACGTGTACGTGTGTGTTGTCATAATGTGGACATGTCTGTAACAAGTAATACCAACTCTAATCATTGGTGATTAAATAACAACATTTAATAGGTTAATTACATTCAATATAAAGCCAAATTTATTTGACTACGTATTTATTTTACAATTAATACTAAAATCGAAATTCTAAGACGTTTATTTTTTTAGGTTTTACCAGCACGTTACATTATAGGCCAAAGAAAATCAATTATGAAGTTAAATAACAAAAGATTGAGGCTTAAAATAGTTTAGTGTATTTCGCTTTTAATAACAATAACATTAGATATAAACATCTATCCACAATATTTTCAGACACCATTCAATTCTACAAATTATTTAACAAGGTAACATCTATTTATAGGTTTTACATTAATTAACCAACCAATCAGTTTAGGACACAGAAAATATAAATATATGAATTATAATAAATTGTGACTTTAGAATTTCGATTTAAATATAAATTTTAAATACAACTGGTTTACGCTGACGCTAGTGACATATAAAACAATTAGCATTTCATTCAAAGCAAATTTGCTTATATCAATTTGAAAATATCACAAACGAACTTTATAAATGTTCAGCTCGTAACCAAAAATGGTGACTGGCGAGGTAGCAAATTGGAGGTGCGGGTGTGAAACGGAACGAGTAACCATAGCAACGCAGTGTACCGGAAACTTTAATCGCCATTTTGGTTCAACTAAGCCGTGTATTATAAATAATTCTATTGTATTCAATTGTAAATTACCATTATCAAACATTACTTTTTTTTTATAACACACAACATTTGACATTAATTCTACAATTAAAATATAATAAAAGCATAATACAAATATTATAAATTCGTTACTTTACTGTAAATACGTATACTTATTACATGTAAATGTCAACATAATAAAAGAAAAAGAAAATTCATTATTAAACAAATATTCTTAAGATACGAACTGGCTCATATAACAGCTTATAATATTTTTTGTTACGTTAAAATACAGGGTTATTAATAAAACACATTGATCCTTGCAGTAGTATAACACATCATCAACAACATTTGTTACACAAAATTTAAACATTACAGAACACTGAACAAAATATTATATTCTAAATTTTTATTGTATCGTTGCAACATATATAGGTCTAGGTTTTATTCATAAACAAAAGCACGACGCTTCGCTCTTATGCTGGCGTAATCTTGAAGATGGATAGTTCGAATTCGAATGCAAAATATTACGAAACATCAAAAATCATTGATTAAACGGTTAAAAGCGTGGAATACTCCACTTGAGGCTATAAGAATAGTCACCAGATACATTTAAAATCATAATAAAAGCACTTTTACTATCAGGTGAGCATAATCCTATTATATTGTATTATGTATGTATCTATCAACGTTGGTATTTTATAAACTTATTTATAATTTTAGTTTTTTCCTAATTTTTCACACAGTACACTATTTTTTAAATGTAATTTGTAAGATTTTATCTCTGCTATCAGATATCAGATTTTATCGGCTGCCTACTGTTTTTTTTGTTTGTAATTATTTCGTTGTTTGTAAAATAAAATGTTAAATAGATAAACGTTGTCATTTGATGCAAACTATCTGTTCTAGATTGTCGGCGTTTTACAAAATAGCCCTGTATATGACAGCAAAATACTCCAATTCAATACATATCCAGAAATTAACTGAGACATGCTCTGTTGGTTTTGAAATCTCCAATAAATATTGGCGTGATAGAATAACCAAGAACAACGCGATAAGAGAAGCTGATATTACATAGAATATAGAAATCGATATCATTTTAACTCGATATCGTCATAGTTTTTAAACTGCTAACGTTATAAAGCTTTTTAAACTATTATTTCATTAAATTTTGTTACACTCTAGTTACTTGCAGTTAAATAAGCAAATAAAAAACTGACAATTTAGTTTGATAAAAAAAACCCATTAAAACTAGGACCTACTGTATCATACTCTGTAACATACAAAAAAATGTCAAATAAAGATGGCACTACAAAAGTATTTATAATTATTATACATTTATAAACTAATCTCAAAAAGCCAACATTACACCGCTATTAAAAATAAAACACCTATTTATTTATAATAAGAATAAAATATAAAAAAAATCATATATAATGCTAATAGAAAAATATAATAAAACACTTTGAAAAACTCATAAAGCATTATCGATGATAAAAGCACCATATGGTCTATTAAAAAATAAAAAATATATACAATTTGTAATTTACTCTATGGCACTATATTTGTATTCAATATCACGGTATCTGTGATAAAAAAAGGAAGATACGATAATACTTGTACAAGTGGCTACAGTAAATAATATCTATGCACTATTTGCTATTGTTTTGAATTTGTTTCTGTACCTGTAAATCCACTTATTTTTCGTACTTCATGAGCATTGTCATTAACGCCATTTATATCCAAGTTCTGGTAGTTTTAGTTACTTCTGTTGAATGGAATGTGATGTGTGTGTTTGTGTGTATTTCGGCAGTTTGTGTGTATCATTTATCTGTCTATTTAGTGTGTATGACATAATTTTGTTAAAATTTGGTGAATATGACTGTTAACTCAAAATATATATATTTAAATACAACAGTAGATAAAAGAAAGATAAAGAATAAAGACGAATTGATATAATTTATAAGACTTTTTTTAATTTTCTTCACAAGACAAAAGAGTTTCTATCCATACAGCCTAAAATATTCCTGTTTTTTTTTTTTTATTTTATTTGATACATTACAAAGTTCGTAAATAAGCGTCAACAAGTATTTTAGCAATAAGAATTATTAAAATTTAAAAACGGGTTATTTTAGGCTGTGATTAAAACCATAAGGATACATAATAGGGAAAAGTAAAGTATATAATATTTTAAAGGGTGTAAAAGAATATTGATAGCGTTAAAAATATATAAGTAAGCTTCAATAATAGTCTCTATTTTTATGACTGGGAAAATTATATTACATATAGGTATATGGCGTGCGAGAAAGGGACAGTCACTGAGGAAGACTATCCGGACGACCTAATAGTGTTGTTAAGTGACAGTAGTGACGTGAATTAGTGAATTCAAAGAAGTGTGTATTGTGTTATTAGTTTATTTTTGTGAATTTATCCTAGCATGTAATAATATCTTCGTAAGGCCTCACTTTAGATTAGATAGAGCGTTTTATCTTTTTTTACTCTAACTGAAAGACGAGAAAATCACGTGACCAGAGTTATAAGTTTGTAATAAGTAAGGGTATTAGTGTTTAACAAGTTGATATAAAATATACATAGTAAATAACATATAATTTTGACAAATATTATGTGCGAGGGAGTTATAATCAAAAAACTTTCGAACTCGCTCACACTAACAAAAAAACATGTCTTAATAATCTCTTTATATATATGTGTGTGAGTAGTGTAAATGTTAAGGATTTTTTTGTTTGATTCAAGTATGCCGTATCTTCGTTTTTTTTTTAATTAGGACGCACAACTGGTCTATTTGTTTATAAAAACTTTGAAACTTAAAATCGTTAAGTTAAAAAAATATTTTGCGGAATCTGATACTGTGGTAACTGTGGTTTCGTTACGCCAGTCAAATATCGATAGGTGTATCGATTATACCATCGATACACCTATCGATTACTGAAGTACTGAAGAAGTCGACGTTTAGTTTATAGAAATGTTTCGGTTCCCGTAATTCAGATATTACAAATCGCTAGTTAATTTTGTTCAAATAAAATACGCTTACTATTTATTAAAAACAAAACTTTTTAAGTTTTATGTTAAGTATTTCTTAACATATAAGTAACTATATCCAACATATTTCATAATTTGTTGTTATAACTATCAAGTAGTTTTCAAAGTTTTTAACCAGTGAATACATTTACCGTGTATAAAAAATACTCTATATATAATCATTACTTTCATATATATGCCACAAAATTAACTGACAACCGTTTTGGTAGACTTAAAAAACGTTTTTATATAACTAAAATATGTCAAATTACAACTGGTTAATTATTGCAGGTCACCTGTGAAACAAAAAAATTATGAGCATTAAAAAAAGAGACAAAGAAATAAAATAAATTGCGGATCAGAATCGACGCAGCCCGCGATTGTTATCGTTAAGCAACGGTCGATCACGAGATGGGTGACCAAAAATTATTATACCGAACGCCGCCGTGCTTCTTAATGCACGTTAAATTGGTCCCGGATGCATTTGCAGTCGTTAATATCTTTAATATCCACATTGGGTCCGCGTAGAGGGTCATGACCCGTCCTCCTTAACCATCCATAAGGAAGGCCCGAGTCCCTACAGTGGGGACATTAAAAAGCTGATCATGATAATTTTATTTTATTATGATTTTTAACGTGCCTTCCGAACCAAGAACAAGCTCGAGATAATAAATCGGTCACCCATCCTATCACCAGCCAACCTTAACAACAGTATCGCAGACCGAGCGCGCCAGCCACTCCACAAATGTTTCCTATTGCATACTTACATCATTTCATCGTCATACTCTCGTACAGGTTGAATTCGTCAAAGCCGTCTGGGTCAAAGGCGCGCATCTGCTCGAACAAATCGCTGTCCATGTATGTACTAGCCTCAGTAGGCGCCGGCGTTGCGGCATAACTGTATTTCGACGCAGTGTATATGTGTTCGAGGAGGATCGGTGAGTTATTTCATTAAAATAAACCATTATTCACATTTGTTAAATCAAAGATACCGTTATTTAATATAGTTTCATATAAATATCGTTATATTATCAAATATACCGTTATTAAATAAAAGGTATCGTTATTTTATAAATTTAACGGTATCAATAACGATATTTATTACCAAAATTATAAGAATTTTCATTATTATAATATGAAACGGTATGGTTATTAAATTAATTATTTTGTAAGCATAATTCAAATCAAAATTAATTAAAAAATTCAATATGGTGATGTATGATTGCGTGTTGTGTGTGTGTGTGTGTGTGTGTAATTGCAGTCGTAGCGATGCAACAGCGTCGACGAATCGGGAAAGAAAGAAAATGCAACACATGAGCTTATTGGACGGTCGTCAGAAATCAAATTAATTAATAAAAAAAAAAAGATTCTCATATCGCCTCGCCAAAATGTCAGCACAGACAAAAATAGTCTTATAATCACAAATCGCTATTCCGTTACAAAAAACGATAAGTTTTTAACAGAACAAAAAAACGGTAACGATCTAAATTCAAAATATAATAATAGGAAATTAACCGACCGTCGTCTGTGTTGCATTTTCGCGATGGGATATTTCGAAGAGAAAATGTCTTTGAAGTATTACAGACTCAACTCTGTGTTGAATTCAAATAGCCATTAGGAATTTAAAGAGATCGATGATGTCACACGTATATATTAACATGGATACGACCTCGAGATAAGACGCTTCAAAATTGCTAATATACTCAATATCATATGTTACATACTTCACAAAATAAATATAAGCTGGAATTAATTTAAAACACAAAGGTAACTGCAAACTAACTACATTAATTCAAATCCTGAGATCGTAGACATGTCTGCACAATGACCACATGTGCTATAACCAGTGGTCGGAATTAGGTAGAGTTATTCATGTACTTACACTGATTTCATACAGCGAAAGAATAAAGTGGATATGCCTCAAATCCCGAGATAAATTTTGAAGAGCAGAAAAAAACCCGTGATTTTTTAAATAAAAAGTTATTTACTTTTACACAATTTAAACTACTGCACGCACGTAATATGCGTATGAGAATTTGCTTAAGACTATCAATAATTTGTATTGTAAATTAATGTAAACTAATAAAAATTTTATGTTAATTATCTTTGTTTTATTTGTCTATCTCTTACGTTGTTATTATTATTTAGTTGTAAGATTGTTGGCCACACGGGATTGTCCAATAGAAATCCCGGGAAGGTCCACATTAATATCAACATTTCGATACAAGTACATAAATAACTCTACCTAATTCCGACCTCTGGCTATAACAAGTATCGCAAAAATATAAATTCGAATATAATTCAAAGACATGTTTTCTTTCAGTAAAAAATCCAATGTTATCTCTTAATTTCACGTATATTTGTATACAAATACGTTTAAAACATACATGCGACCAACAAACATCGTTCACAAATTCAAATATGATGCGAAACCACCTTAACGCGATTGCTGTTAAACTCTAATTTCGAGAAGTGATATGTTACAGTTTAATACTTTCAAAAGTTATACGAATCAAATAAAAATACAAGATGGCGATCACGAGAAAGGTCAAGGTGTGGTTTCTCACCGTCATTCAAGGAGATTGCGCGCTATTTTTAGCACATGTAAGACTATTTTAGCTTAACCTACAAGTGGTTCATACCAAAAGTGTTTTATATTCATCATTATTTTATCAAAACTCATAAAAACTCATCATCATAGCCATTAAAAAATTATACGTCCATATTGAGAAAAAAACAGTGCATCAGAATCCGTTAGCATCGAAGCACGATGGAGCTAGAGAAAAAAAAAACGGTCACCCATCCTATAACCGGCCTCTGCGAAAGTTGCTTAACTTCTGCAATGGACGAACGAACGAGCATTGTTTCGTCGTGGTCTTGATATTGATATGGACTATACAATATATATTGAACAAAATAAATATATCTCATTCTGAAATACAGTTTAGGATACAAAACGTTTATATAAAAAACACTTATGGTACGCATTTATGAGCTTAACCAATGAATAGCCACATCCATTTATTTATTTATAAAATTCGTTAAAACTATTTATAAACGATACACTTAATTAAACTATATATCATTAAATAATAAAAATAAATCCTTACTTAATTAATACTTAATAAATCCTTTATGCTTCATGTAAATTCTTAGTTCATAAAAACTGATACTATGCGATGAAAACTAAGTGAGATTTCAAATAGTATCATTTAGTTTTTAAACCTTAGTGAAATGAGAAATATTTGAAATCCAAGAAATGCCAACACACTAAATATAAAACTCTATTGTATCCCAAGACACTCATAATGAATTACACTTGAATTAATTTTTTTTAATGATTAATATCAAAATACATTATATAAAACAACACTCATGTGTCAGCTGTCAGTTTCAATGTCAAATCTGTGAGTCTTCAATGTGAAACAAATACATTCGCTGTTCGAATCTAGTTTACAAAATATTCAAGTCATAATATGGCCAGGCCCGGATGCACAATTTTTTCCGACCCGGGAGGAAACTTGATATTGCCCCCCTCCTCAAGAAACTTGATATCCCCCCCCCCCTCCCCCCAAGAACTTGATCCAGCGCCGATCGGCGATCGACTAGCATATTATTGCTATGTATGATTTAATTTTGAAACTTTGAAAATGTATTGTATCATCTCGATTTTTATGCCCACCTGACACTGGGCAAGTGAAAACGTGTTGGAAGCTCTATTGGTGACTAAATCTTGAAGGTGTTTGGACACTGTAATCATATGGACAATTAACCGGCATTTAGATAAAGAAAGATACTAATTACACTGATTATAAAAAAAAAAACATTCGAGACGGTCCATCGCACAATACCAGTCGCTTATAACAACTTTATACTTAAAAAATATGTCATGTATCAAAAGATGTACTCGAAATTCATCCGTTAAAAAAAACTTATAAAATAATAATAATAAAAAAAAACTAGCACCGAACTTTATACAGAACACAATCACAATAGAATTTAAAACTTTTCTCATAAATACATATTTTGAAACTCAAAATTCCTATGAAAAGAGTCTTAACTCACCTTATTTTAGTCTCATTTTCTTTTAACTCACCTTATTTTAGTCTCATTTTCTTTGATAACACCTTTTATTTCAAATAGAACCTTCTTTTTACCCATTTAAAATCACATTTTTAAACATCTTAAATTTACAAGTAACATTTACCTCCAAAGTCTTTAACTCTACTAATAGACAGGGGGAAATGCATTTCATGGACCCGACAATTGAAGAAAGACTTATATGTATACAATCCCTAAATTGTTAATTTAAAAATAATATACTGTTTTTCAACAATGTATTATTCGTATACACTACAAAAAATGTATACTACATATGTATACACTACAAAAAATGTATACTACATATGTATACATTAAAAAAATGTATACTATATATGTATACACTACAAAAAATGTATACAGTATGATTTAAAGAAAAATCTCGAGGACGGTTTATCGCTGTAGTCATTTCATTAAAATATATCAAAATTCAAAATCACTTTGGCATTTTTTCTAGCCTTCACAAATCAGTTTCAAACCATTAACTTTCAATTAAGTCATGCGTTTCGATTGTATGAATAATACAATATTTAAAATGAAACATGTATTCATATAATTTCTTACAATTCCTCTAAATTATTTTTCTATCTTTCAATAAAAAGCATATAATTATGATATATATTATATAAATAAAAAATATAGTTTGGAAGATAGAAAATAATATAGTTTTTTATAAAAACATCAATAACACACTCCGAATTTATATAGAAGAGTATATGCTGATTAAAACTCACATAGCACGGTCGCCAAGCAGAGAGAATTTCTTTTAAAAGGGCCCGGCATTACTGTCTCTTCCACTCATGCGCAAACATATGCGCTTGCGCAGATGCATCAATTTTGTCAATAAAAGTATCAGTATGCACAAAGGTCAACATACAAAATTCCTTCTATTCAGCGACTGTGGTATAAAGTAAATAAACATTTTTAACTTCGTATATGATTTTTCTAAAGTATTTTTTCACTAAGCTACATAACTTCAAAATTACATATAATAATCAGACTGTAGTATTGTTATAAATTATACATAATATAACATTTATATAACTCGCCAATGGTCTAATAGAGAAAACATATATATTATATAATCATAATATAACAGTAATATTTAAACATGTATATATACGGCATGTGTATATTTTATATGAAATTCCGATACACATATATTTATCAAAAATTTATTTGAAATATTTAAGTATATGAAAATTTTATCAAGATTACATTTAAAATAGGAGTAAATAATTTTTTTTTTTGGGTTATCCATAACATCGACAAATATCACGCAGTTCAATTTCATTGTTCCGGTACCATTTTTCGATGAATTAATTAAATTTTTAACTCTACCAACATGGTGTTGAGGATTAAAATCCAATGTTGAAAGTTGTCAGTTTGTCCCCGGTCAAGTAAGCCTGTCTTATTTTATCCTAAGCAGGGGGACGTGATAGTTGTTACATTAAATCATAATTTTTTGCCAAAAATTCTAAAGAACGGTTATTAATGCTATAAAAACCTAAGGGTATAAACTAATAAGTTTTTTCACTTTCTTACATTTTCCGATGTTTTTGGCGATTTGAAACTACACCAATTAGATAGCGAAATTAAAATTTTACATTAGAAAAACGCGTAAATTATTAATAAAAATTGTAGCTACAAAAAAAATCTCAAAAATACTCTTTTATCAATTCTTCCAATACATTATTACGGGGGTCGACAGATTCTCACTTTTTCTTACATAGGTGATAGAAAATGCTTACACAGTACAGGATCAACGCCCTGACAAATTCTTATATATCTTTCAAC